AGCTAGGGTTTGCGGTAACTTTGATCTGTCATTACATCAAAGGAAACTTCTCTTGACACCGTCTCCGTGGAAACATATCTCTCCTCCGACGCCAAAATTGGACGTTGATAGGGGCGCATGTTCCAGTGTTCCACCGTTTGCCAAGGTCACTTACAGAAGCAAGTTTTTTTTTTTATTATTTTTTTGGAAGTTTCAAAGATTAGTGAATATATTTATTGTTCATTGGAATCAGGGGTTTACGTGCAATCCAAAGTAATAAAAAGGTTAGCTGAATTTGAATTACAAAAGCGTATGTTATGCCGCAGCACCACAACCAGCGTAAAAAATACCATCACTCTCACACACAGCAGCGTGATCGACGTGACTTTAATCATCAGTGTCAAATTTGTAATAGTTTTGGTCACACAGGAGCTAATTGATTTCGACGCTATGATAATCAGTGTCAAATTTGTAATGGTTTCGGTCACACGGAAGCTAATTTTTTTCGGCGCTATGATGATCATTGTCAAATTTGTAAAAGTTTTGATCACACGGGAACCACTTGTATTCGACGTTATTTAGGGGCTCCAGGTCCTCGAGCTAATTTGGTGTTTAAGGATGGTTTTGGTGCTAACACCTCGTCAAATTTTCATACTTGGGTTCAGGACACTGGAGCCACAAATCATGTAACTCCAGACATAGTTGCCCTTTCTACATCGGAGAAGTACACTGGTCATGACACTTTACGTATCGGTGATGGTATGGGTCTGTCTATTAGTCGTGTTGGTCATGCTACTTTTGATACCCCTTCTAGGTCTTTTACGATGTCTGATATATTGCATGTTCCTGGTCTGTCTACATCTTTATTATCTGTTCAACGTTTTGCTACAGATAACAATGTGTTTTTTGAGTTTCACCCATATTTTTTCCTTGTGAAAGATATTACCACCAAGGAAATCTTGCTACGGGGCAATAGTTCGGGTGGTCTCTACACTTTGCCTGTTCTATGTTCGTCTCCCTTTGTCTTCCTCTCCGCTCGTGCTTCCGCTTCGATTTGGCATGATCGTTTGGGTCATCCTCATCAGCGTGTCCTAAGTCAAATTCTTCCGTCATGTTCGGTTAGTGAGTCTAGTCTAGTATTCGTTGCAATTCTAATTTATGTTCAGCGTGTCAATCGGGTAAATCTGTACGTTTCCCTTTGGCACGTGTTGAGTCTAGTACTTCGGACATTCTTGATTTGATATACACTAATATTTGGGGACCAGCTCCTTTGCTATCTTATAATGGTTGTTGTTATTTTATCATCTTTGTTGATGATTATTCTCTGTACAACCTACATCATCCTCTACTGAACCTACATAGGTTGCACGGCGTCCGCGTGGCAAGTCGACGAGGCTAACCGTACACACCCACTCCATGGCGACTCGCAGTAAGTTTCAGGCTCCTCCTATGGCTCTAGATGCTCAGGTTTGTCCTACGGAACCTACATGTTACACTCAAGCTATTAAATATCCTGAATGGCGTGAAGCTATAGACCAAGAATTTAATGCTCTACTACAGAATCAGATTTGATGCATTATCTTGTGATGATGCATGTTTAGAGCTTGTTCTTAGGGTTCTTGAATGCCATTGCTTGGCTATTTCTTGGGTTCAAGTCATATTGTTGTTTTGTGTGAGATTTTGGGTGTTTTGGACTTGAATTTGGACTTGTTGTTGAAAATCTCCAAATGGATTATTTTGGTGTACAGGGCGTACCCGCGGGCGGAACGGCGGGCAGAGGCCTACCCGCCGCCCCACCCACGAGGTACATGGTGCCTCGTGGGTTGGTACTCGCGGGCGGAACCGTGGGTGGTTGTCCACCCGTGGCCCCACCCGCGGGGAACACTGTTGGTGTTGGCCGAGGATTTGTTCCCCGTGATTCTTTTGACCCGGTATTGATGTTTTGACCTCCCGATGTTGTTTTATTGGGCCATTTGTGAGTCTTCTTGATGTTTCGTATGTCTAGAACGGTATGTTAGGAATCTATGTAGGATTTGGTGTCTTGAATCGTGTTAAGGGTCTAACTTTGTGATTCGTTGGACTATTGTGAGTCTTGAATGTTCTATGGAACTACTTTTGGTTTACCCGTTTGATAAGCATGCTAGTTTGACGTTGAAATGCTAGTATGTGCGGTTTGTTCTTTCCTATTGGGATTGGCAACTTGAGTTGACCATCGTTTGGTGTCGGATTGTGATCCTTCGTTGTTGAGTATGGTTTCATGTTTTTGTTGTGATCTATTAGCATATATTATATATTATTAGTATAAGTCAATAATTGTTATATTGACCTTGTCCTTAGCCATCTGTGTAGGATCTATTTACTAGTAGTATATCTTGTAACCTTATCAGTTTGTTACTGCAATTGAATCAAACACTCGTTCCTAAACTCATCTGGTATCAGATTGCCAAGTTTCGCTCCTAAATTCTCTCTTCTTTTTTGTTCTGTTTTCTATCCCCCATTGATTGATTCCTTTGATATGAACGTATGTAATCGTTGTACCCTTTGATTGATACTTGATTAAGGTTATTGTGGAACCTTAGTCTTCTTGGTAATGATGATGACTTGTGTGACTATGATTGAATGTGGGTGGTTGTTACTTGAGCTTTGCTCACATGTAGGTGGTTGTGTGAATGAAATTAATGGTACCCTCGTGTACTGAGAGTTCGACGGTATGTTGGAGGCTATGTTGGAGGGGGGACGACGGTCCCTGGCGGTACAAGGTTGGACTCAGAAGTACAAGGTGGCACTAGGAGGTAATGGTTGGAACTGAAATAAGGTCAGGGGTAGCCATAAGGTTGGAACAGGGCATAAGGTTGGAACTATGAAACTTGTGACATGTAGTTGTCACTGTGGCATGTAGTTGCCGTTGTGTGAATGTGTATTCTTTGCTAATGAGAATGTCTTGATGTATTCTACTTTGTGATCAGTAGAATGCATCTTGAGTTGTATTATCTTTCATGTTCTTGTCTTGTTATTGTTGTAAGGATGGTGATTCCTTTTCCTTTTGAGAGTGTGAATGAGTCCTTGAAGTTTACTTCTCTCTATGACTTTTGAAATGATATATACTCTATTCTATTTCAAAATGGTTTTGACTTATACTTATCTATATATGCTATTTACCGCGTGTTGATGGGTTACCAACAATGTTCGCTGACCGGGTGTTATCCCCATGTTTTTTCCTTGTTCTACAGGTTTTGAGTAGATGCCCGAGAGCGTTAGACTTGGAATGATAGATATCTTATTCACCTTGTCTAGACGTTATGTTTTGATGGCATGTGAGCCTATTGAGCGGCTTGTGTGCCTTGACTCTTTATGACTTGTTTAAACTATTTAGTTTTCCCGCCTGTGCATCTTTAGTACTTTAAGATGTGGCATAATACCCTCGTTTAGACTTGCTTCCGCTTAATGTTTAATGGATGTTTAGATTGCTTATCTCTTGCCTTTTTAGGTTTTAAAATGTGGTAAAAATCGGGGGTGTTACAACCTTGAAAGGTCTTTATACCCATTTTGATGAAATCGGGTAGACCTGGTAATTATGGACACGACCCGTTAACACGACACGAAACCGGACACGAAAATAACGGGTTAGTGTTTAGCCTTAACATGTCTCGGGTCGTTAACGGGTTGACCTGTTAAGGACCCGTTATGTTTTGTGTCTTAACGGGTCAACCTGTTAAACCTATTAAGAACCCGTTTAACCCGTTAATATTATCGTGTTAACCCGTTTACACGAACCCGTTTACACAAACCTGTTTAGAACCCGCTAAGAACCATTGTCATGAATGAGATTTCAAAAGATATCATGAACATGAGTACATGACTAAGGATGAATTTACTACATTAGGCTAAAATCCTACACCAATTATTGACGTTCAACAATATGAAGTTTTAACTTTTATTGTGTTCAATTTTATTCTAAAACTAGGCATGGACTTCTTTAATTATGATTTTTGGATATTATTTTATTATTTTATGAATGTTATAAATTGAATATTTTTTTAGTTTGTTTGATTGATTTAATTGTAGGTTTTATTTCTTTTATATATAACTTAACTTTAAATTTTAGTTTTTTTTTTTTAATATATTAATAGGTTTAGTGGGTTTAAACGTGTTTCGTGTCATATCGTGTTGACACGACCCGAAACCTATTAACAAAATGTATCTATCGTGTCAACCCGTTTAACCCGTTAACAAATCGTGTTCGTGTACGTGTTACAAATTTGGACCCGTTAACCTTATCGTGTCGTGTTCGTGTTTAGCCTTATCGTGTTCGTGTCATTATCGTGTCGACCCGTTAACGAACCCGTATACACGAATTGCCAGGTCTAAAATCGGGCAATGATATTCTTTGCTCTTGGAAATCATACCCCTCCATAATTGAAAGTTCTTGATTGAGTGGTGAAAACTCTTCCTTTTCAATTAAGAGTGAATGCACAAAGAAAAGATCCTCCAACCAAATTTCAATCAAGGTAAGACAATAAGCACATTGAACAATAAAAACAAACAAAAAAAGAAAGAAAAATCTTAGTCTCCTAAGATTCCCTAAACTCCAATGCTAGTAAAACAAGCAATCACATAAAACCACCAAATTGCCAATCCCCGGCAACGGCTCCAATTTTTTGATGTAGCAAAAATAAGATGTGAGCTAATGTCGTCTTCAGGGGATTGGGGGTTATGGCGCGCAATATGCAATCACAAGAAACTAGGCACTAGCATAAAGAAATCAACAAGAAGCTAAGCAAACAATAGTACGAAATTAAACATAGAAGATTGCTTATAGGCCACCATTGTTAAAAGAATGGTTGCCTAATCTTAACCCAAAAATTCGCAATTGTAATTTTGTAAATAAATGATCAATAATCCGCCACCATTATAGCTGTAATGGTTGCCCATTGTATTCTTTATGTATTTAAAAAAAATTAATTTTTAATAGACAACCATTTCTAATAGAAATGGTAACCTTAGAATAGAAATTGTTTTATAATAGTCAACACTAGATCAGAACAAAGTCGCTCCGTCTCAGAACGAAATCGCTCGCGTCTCAGATCAGAACGATCCACCGTCGCACCAATCGTCTCACCACCGCCACCACGCCGTTGGCCTGCGGCGACGCCACTCCGCACAGCACCATCCACTGTCGCACACTCGCCACTGCGACGCCGACGCCACAGCCGCCACCCCCGCCAACGTCCGTAGATCTGAAGCTCCTCCTTGCCACGGGACGACGACCCCGGCTCCTCTGCGACGCCAGTCTCCCGCCTCCTTCTTCAGCCGGAGATTGGGGCTGCCGGCGCGGCTTCCTCGTCCGATCTGCAGGTTAGTGTTTTTTCTGAATACTTGGATATCAACTATTATCTGCTTCCTCAATTTCTTTCCCCATTCTATAGCAAACACCATAGAAGCTGACCCCCACTGTTTAATTTTCCAAGAAGTTTGAGGTGGAGGAGGATTGCAAGGGTACACTCAACAAAGCACCACTCTGCTATCCAAGTTAACAGGGTCAGCAAATCTGGTAATCATCAAAGCTTCACTCTATTATTCTGAAAGGCATTTTGGCTGTTTATCCTTTGGAATTTTTCAGTGTAGGGTATGATAATCTTTAGTGGTACTTTAGTGAAGTGAATCAATTACAGTAATTGGTTTGTGAATTACAAGTTGACATTCATTTTTCTCACCAGATTTGTGGGGTGGGTGGACTGTTTTCTTGGTCAATTATTTGTTTATTCATGTTCTTTTTTGTTCAAATTTTACAGAGACTAGAATGCCTAGAGATAAAGCAGGAATCTTTTCTGGTTATCATTTTTATTCAAGATTGAACTTTGGTATTGGATTGTGGTGGAATAGTTTGTCAAAATTTTGATATGATGAAGAATATTACTAATAAATATTGAAGCAGGATAGTAATAACATATTAATAATAGAAACCTTTTTTTCTTGAATACATTTGAAGTGTTATTCTTCTCTGTCTTATTTGTTGTTGAAGCTCAAGACTAAATGATATCCCATTTCCAAGTTTTGGTCTCAAATCTTATTTCTAGACCCAAAAAAAAAAAAAAAAAAACATTGTTTCCAAATTCACAAATGTTTAAGCCCTCTCGTTGACAATTTTTGCCATTAAGTTTGAATTGGGAGACTAAAGATGAAAATGTATATAATTATGAGACTAATGAGTCTGTTCTTTTATGCTTCCCATATTTGGAAATTCAATTCAAGAATAGCTCTTTCTGAATAGAATTGGTTCTTTTTCTGAATAGAACTCCAAGTAAGATGGTGAGAATGAGGCAAGAAAGGAGAGGAAAGATGAATTCTTGAAATTCTTCCATGCCTGTCTTTGATCTTGGTTCTGCAGCTTATGCTTGGACCTATTTAACCATAAAATTGTTTGATTTCAAAGGACTTCTCTGATGTGGTTTTAGTAGGTGCATCCATTGACTCAGTATCAAATGAAGACAAGTTGGAGTTTTATAGTTTATGCATGTAATGACAAACAGATAAGTTGTGATGATGTTTTCTTTTTTAGTCCTAAGGTTTCTGTCTTCTACTCTTCTGTGGAGATGTTTATTATCTTTCGGTTCCTATCAAAGGTTGCTTATGGAGGTAACAGAAATAAATGCTAGACCTTCTTAGATGTTAACTTTCAAAATATATGCTATGAACTTCAAATTGCTGATGAATGAATTAATGAAAGTCGTCCTAGTACCATGATATATGGAGTGTGATCAGTTCTGCTGTCATATTTTCTTTAGATTGACTACTGCTGCTTATAAAGAAATTTATGCATCTTGCTCTTCTGTCCTTACAATGAAACTAAGTTGATGGCAAGAGACACTTCACTATATTGAACTTGGAAATTCTCTAGTACCAAATCTGGATTTTGCTTTACATCTTTTGATAACTGTTGGAATCTAAAATTGGGCCTAGGTCCTTTCTGGTGCAAGACATATTTCTGATACAATTATTTGTGGTGTGAAGTTGTTCTTCTTGGAGGATCAGTTTGGGAGCTCTCCTTTCTGGTGCAAGACATATTTCTGATACAATTATTTGTTGTAATTTCATTCTTTTCTTTTGTAGATTTCAATTATTTTTAATTTAGAATTGTAAATATGTAATTTCATTTATTGTTTTTTTTTTACAAATACTGTAGTAATTTCATAATGGTTGTGTGAGAATTGCATGGTGCAAAATAATATAGTTTTAAAATTATTTTTAATTTTTTTTTTAATTTTTAAAAAGACAATACGCGACCATTCCTATCCAAGAATGGTTGCGTATTACATTTGAATAAAAAAATAAAAAACAATACGCGACCATTCTTAGTCAAGAATGGTCGCGTTTACATTTGAATAAAAAAATAAAAAACAATACGCGACCATTCTTGGTCAAGAATGGTCGCGTATTACCGACAATGCGCGACCATTTTGAAATGGTCGCGTAAAGTCCATGACTTTGCGCGAGCCTCTCATAGGTGACCATTGTACAATGGTCGCCTATTGTCTTTTACAATGGTTGCCTATTTGCAATTTTGTACTAGTGAAATCATAACGAGATTGAGGCTACGGTAACTAAACAAAGTAACACAAACACATATTAACAAGATGTAAACACGAAATAAAGAAATAAGACTTAAGCTAGGGAGCATTATCTTCTAGATGCATAACACAACCTAAGGAATGGGGAAAATCACACAACCAAGGAATAGAGAGGATGCACGTAGGAATCCTAGTCTATAAGTCACTCAAGTGTGCAAATTAACAAAGATTAGAACAAGGAATTGCCCCACTCTCGTGGTGAATCAACTCTAAGTTCTTCAAGAACACAAAGCATCTAAAACTCTCAATTTCCTCCATTTTCATAGAAGAAATCGGGTTTATGCAAGGAGTGGTTTGGAAACTTGACCCAACTCTCATTGAGGCCAAGAATCCTCCAAAACATGCCAATGAATGTTGTACACCAAGCATTAACAATATACAAACACAAATCCTTCATAAACTCAAGAACTCTAGGTTAGAGTTCTTCCCCTTTTTGCAATAATCACAAATCAAGCATCAAGATAGAAAATACAACCCTAACTCAAGTCCATAAACTAACTACTCATGATTAAATAGCATAAAGAACACAAGAACACAAGCATTAAACATAAATCTTGCATGCAAAGAAAAAGATAAAAGGAAGAAAGCTTCTGATCTCTGTTGAAAATGGATGTTGGAATCTTGAAATGTTGGAATCCAAACTTCAAATCCAAGATTACAAGCTTCAAAAGTGTTAAGAAACATAAATCTAAGCCTAATCTAACCTAAAAATATGAGGGGAAGTAAATGAGAGTGTCTAGGGTTCTAACAAGAGTCAAAATCAAGTAGAAATGACCAAAAACGCGCCTAAATACAGCAGAACACAGTGGTACTGCCTCAGGGATGGGGGTACGCAAGGCAGTACCATTTTTGGTGCATTTCCAGTGAAAACTGGCTCAGGGAGAAGAGATGAGTACTGGCCAAGGGATGGGGGTACCCAAGGCAGTACGAGGCTCCTGGAAACAGAATTGTGTGCACTTGTCTTTACTTCTAGGCTATTTTTCTCCTCTAAAACAATTTTATTGGCACTTATGATCTTCAACAAACTTGTAGCCCTTTAAGTTGGCTTTCCACTGGTGCAAGAATCACTTCATTTTGACATTCCTAGACCGAGATATGGTCAAAAAACTGAATAGTGTCTGAAATGAGCGAAAATTACAATGTCTTGATCTTTTGCTCCTCTTTTGTTTTGATTTGCCCAAATGACTAAGACCATTGAATACACCACTCTTAGGCTCCCTTGGACTCCTAATGCATCTAAAATGCTCCATTTGACTCCAATGTTCACCATAATGCCTGAAAATACTCATCTTTGTTTCCAAACAAAACTCCTTGTAAAATAACCCAATTTAATCATAATCTCATGAAATTTAGAATGATCTAGAAGCAAAATGGCTTAGTGAAATGGAGGAAAATATAGATAAATAAGCACTTATCATTAACCTAATTTCCATTCATTTTTTTTTTAAATTTTCAGTCAATTATTAATATTCATTTTTTTCAATTAACCTAATTTCCATTCATTTTTTCATTTTAAATTTTCATTTTAATTGGTTTAAATTGTTGGTTAAGATGAATGAAATATGAATACTGGTTAATTACCTTAACCAGATACAATTGTTTTTACCAAGACTATGTGGTCTAATGGTACCTGGACTGGATTTCCATTTGGAAGATTGTGAGTTCAAGCCTTAGTGGAGGTGTTATTGGTTCTTTGTGTTTTAGTAGGTTGAGAAAGTATATGAATAGATATTACATTGTAATAGAGCCAATAGCATTCAAAAAAAAAAAAAGATACAATTATTTTAGTTTATTATTTTTTGTGGTTGCAATATATGCCCTAACTTTAAAAAAAAAAAAAAAAAAAAAAAAAAAAAAAGTTACACAATTTTAGTCTTTAGTGCAACAAAACTGTTAAATTAAAGTTTGTTAGGATTTATGTCACAATTTGATGCCAAGAATGAATTGAAGTTGAACTCAAGTCTCTTCATGCTGGATGTATAGTTTTGGAAAGAAAATTAAAAGTGTTTTATAAAAGAAGATATATAGATGCTCCCAATTCAATTAATTTATTATGGATATAAATTAAATGTGAAGTGCTGTGCCATGCATGCATGCATCGTATAGTAATAGTAATATATAAGCCACGTACCAGGCCTAGCTTTGCAGTACAATTATTGTTGTTTGGCATGCTAAAAATCCTATACAATTCTTGGCCTATATATTGAGCAACGCATTTTTCTGTGCAATTAAACCTACCTACCTTCAGATCGATATGATCAATATAATGGCTGTTCCTTCCCTCCGTTCCTTGTTATTATTATGTAGTCTCCTTTCAGTCTGCATAACAATGGTTTGTTCTACTGAGGAGAAAGCGTAGAACTTTATCGTTTTCATGTTGAAATCTAAGAAACCCAAGACTTTCTCCATCCATCATGGCTGTTGTACACCTACCTATGAACGTGTTGCCCATGGTATGATAGCCAGAAAATTGCCTTGTTCGTGCGGGATGGTCCTCTGGTGGATTGCAAGTGGAATGTAAACCCAGGAAAACTTCATATCGATGCTAGTTAGTAAAAATTAAACAGTAAAGGATTTTAATAATTAATTGTCCTAAATCCTAACCAAAAGAGTATTGACATGAATCAAGAATTATGCTTCACCAATTTGATTCCACCTTTGGAAGGGAGTGAGACAACTCTTAACTCATATTATTGTTTATTTGCTATAAGCTAAGAGTGGCTTATTATAAATTAGATTCTTATCTACTATATCTACTATCTACTATACTAATAAGAGCCCAAGAGAGTTAGACCTATAATCGGTAGAAAAAATGGAGGTCAAATTTTTTAATCAAATGAAAGGCTCAGATTGATCATATTTTAATTTTTTCTTAAGATTTCCTAATTTTTTCTTAAGATTTCCTAATTTATCCTTAATGAATATGATTATCCGTTAACTTTTCCGTTAAATATTATCTTTTTCGTTAATTTCTGTTAGTTCACCGTTAACTTACTCATTGATTTCAATAAGAAAGGTCTTAGGTTCGAACCTCATCCCAATCAAAGTTGGCATAATTAGTACTCTATTTTACTCTTATTAAATTAAATAATATTTAGTAGCTACGATGAGAATATAATTGTGTTGTATTCAATAATAATGTCTAAGAGTACAGGGAGCGAATATATAGAGATGCTAGATAGAATCCTAGTGTAACACGAATAATATAGTCCTAGTCTAATATGGATAATAGAGTCCTAATAGTCCTAATACTCCCCCTCAAGCACAAGATTGGTCAGCCAAAACATTGAGCTTGCAACGGAGTAAATTAAAACGTACAGACGAAAGAGACTTAGTAAAAGTATCCGCTATCTGATCTTTGGTAGAAATAAAATTGACTTGTAATTCTTTCTTCGCGACTTTATCACGAACAAAGTGGTAGTCGATCTCAATGTGCTTGGTGCGAGCATGAAACACCTGATTAACACACAGATAAGTAGCTCCCAGATTGTCACACCAGAGTTTGGGCACAGAAGGTGGCGCAAACCCGATTTCCTTCATCAGAGAGACGAGCCAAGTAACCTCTGCAGAGACATCAGCCAGTCCTTTGTATTCAGCCTCAGTTGATGAACGAGCCACAGTACGTTGTTTTCGACAAACCCATGAGACAAGATTGGTCCCCAAAAATACAGCAAAACCACTAGTAGATTTGCGATCATCAGGATTGCCAGCCCAATCCGAATCAGAATATGCATGAATATCTAGAGAAGGAGAAGACGTAATCTTAAGACCAAGATGTAGTGTCCCATTTACATACCGTAACACCCTCTTGAGAGCCGCCCAATCTGCAGTAGAGGGAGAGTGCATGTATTGACACAAATGATTGACTGCATAGGAAAGATCAGGCCGAGTTACCGTAAGATATTGCAGAGCACCTGCAAAGCTGCGATACTGAGTGGGATCAGCGTATGGTACCACGGCATCAGTCTCGGCCTTCGTGGTTGAAACTGGAGTAGCCACGGGCTTGCAATCAACCATACCTGCTCGTTTTAGAATATCCTTCATGTACCGTTGTTGAGACAGAAGCATGCCATCAGACAACGGAATGGTCTCAATACCCAGAAAGAACGAGGGCACACCCATATCACGAACTTTAAACTCAAGAGCCAACTTGTCAATAAGAGCAGTCACATGAGCCGGATCAGATCCCATAACCAAAATGTCATCCACATAAACCAGAAAATATAAACGAGTATTGCCATGTGAATATATAAATAGAGAGACATCCGTCTTGGAAGGTGAGAAACCAGCAGAAACCAGAAAATCATGCAAACGAGTGAACCAAGC